TATTGGATGAAGTGTGTCACTGTGGAGGTTGGCTTTGAGGTCTCATATATGCTCAAGCCATGCTCAGTGAGACAGTCCACTTCCTGTTGTCTGTAAATCAAGATGCAGGACACTAGGCTACTTTTATAGTACCGTGTCTGCCTGCATGCCACCATGTCACGCCATGATAATAATGAACTAAACCTTTGAAACTGTAAGATACCACAATTAAGTGTTTGCCTTATAAGAGTTGTATGGTCATGGTATCTCTACACAGCAATAGAAACCCTAAGACAGAGGTTGGTACCAGAGACTGGGGTATTGCTGTGGTAGGTCTGACCATGCTTTAGTGTGAAGTAATATGGACCTTGGGACTGTGGCTTAGAAAAGCAGTTGAATGCTTTAAGTGCTTCTTAATGGGCCATCCTAGTAGGACTATGGAAGACAGTGATGCTGAGTGTGATTTAACTGTGGGAGCCCGGTTCAAGGAATTTCAAAGGAAAAATAATTTTAATATGTGTCCTAGATATGGTTCTTGTGATATTTTGGTGAAGAATATGGCTGCTTTTTGCTCTTGTCTAAAAATGAAGAGTTTTGGATGAATTCCATTCAGCATAGGAAATCTCAAAACAGCCTGGTATAGACTCTGTCATGTAGTTATTGGTGGTAACTCTAAGGAAGGATTACAGTGAAAAGGAGCAAAGTGAACAAGGTAAATTACACAGTATAAATTTTGAAGAGAAAAGAAGCACCTGGAAGTGAAATGGAACTAAGTCCTGCATTCAAACAGATAAACAGATTAAGAATTGGACTAAAGGGGGTAGTAACTTCAGGACAAGATCCCACCCAGCTAAATTTCCATTTTGTGAAAGGAATTAAGGAAGAGTTTAGAGGAGGGTGTGCTGGCAGATGCTTTTAATCCCAACACTGGGGAAGATCTCTGAATTTGTTGATTGCCTAGTCTGTAGAGCCAACTCAAGGACAGCCAAGCTTAGGCAGTGGAGGTTACCATTAAAACCACCAAGCTGATGAAGGTGTAATTGCACAAGGGGGTCATGCTTCAGTCTCAGGAAGCAGTAATTTGTTGGCTTTGGCCACGTGATTCTGGCTTTAGAGTTTAAGGATAGAAGAGAGGGATTGTGTAATTTGCCTCTGCTTCTAAGGACAGTTGCTGAGGCCAGGCATGTGGCAGGGGTGTCCCTGACTGCAGGCCTAGTGAGGCCATTGAGTAAAGCTGTGAAGTTGAGGTCTGGATTGCCTTGGAGGCCCCAAGATTTTGGAGATGCCAGAGCCTGCCAATGAATATTAATAGGGAGTGGAACAAGCCCAAGAGAAAAGAGTTGAAAATCTGAAGAGTTTTTTTTTTTTTTTTTTTTTTTTACATCATACATGGAGATGCTGAATTTGAAGTTTACCCAGCTGGTTTTGAGTCATGATTTGGTCCAGTATTTTCTCACTATGCTCTTTTCCCTATGTTTTGGGAATGGTAATGTATATCCCATGCCATTATGTGTTGGAAGTAGATGATCAGTTTTTTTTATTATAATTTTATAGGGGATTATAGTTTAGAGATTGCATGAATCTCAGAAGAGACTTTGAACTTTAGACTTTTAACTACGTTTGAGACTATTATATGAGACTATAGGTACTTTTGAAGTTGTACTGAACACATTCATTATGATATATCTACAAGGCTTTGGGGGTCAGGGAGTAGAATGTGATGGTTTGAAGGAAAATGAGAGTGCTACTCCCTTAGGATTGGTCTACAGGATTCTGAGCTTGTACTATCTATGTACATAATTTTGTTTGGTATTTTTTCTTGGAATTAGTTTCTTTAAAACAGACTCTTAATTCAACTACTACTTCTTCCTTTATCCCCAGAGACAAGAATTATATGTATGGCCTTGCCACCTTGTCCCCATTCCTGCTCACTATTCTGCCCAAGTAGCTGGCTAGTCTTCCTTATCAGGCCAAATTCTCCTGAGACATTCTTTACCACATCTGGGCCCTTACATCCATTCCTGTAGACAGTGCTAGACAGATTATAGGCTGTGGGGACTACAAGGCTTGGGGATGAGGTTGGAGGAATGAGAGTAGCATTGTCCAAGCAGTTCAAGCCCTGGAAACATACTGCATAAACTGTGGAGGCTGAGCAAGACACACAGAGTAATAGAGCTGTCTTAGAGGGGAGAGTAGCAGAGACTACTGAGGTATATGGTCCTGAGTTCTCAAAGACATCAGCATCCCCTGGGGATGTACTAGATGTACAAATTGTTACCTACCAGCAGTGCATGCCTGCCTGTAATCCTACCTACTAGGGGGGGGGGGAGGCGCTGAGATCATAACCTACAAGGGATGCAGAGTGAATTCAAGGCCACTCTAAACAGTATAATGAAACATTATCTTCAAATAAGAAGTAAAATGATGCCTAGCTATTTGGAGTGGTTGCATAACTCAACCTAAGATCAATCCCAGTACTGCAAAACAAATGATTCAAACAGCCTTCCAACCCCAGTCTAGACCATGGATCAGAAACCATAGGGAAGGGTCTCAGGAGGTCCCAATCCAGATCATCTCCTGGTTATAACAATGCACAGCAAACTTTGAAAACCAGCCAAGCAAACAAATTGTTTAAAATTATTGGCAGGGAGACAATGGCCTGTACAAAATGCAGAACTGGCTGGCACAATTAGAATCAATGGAGCTATAGAACCAGACTTATAGGTTTAGAGTCCTGCTCTGAAGTTGATTGGTCAAGTTCTCTGAGATGCATGAAACTACCTTGGGCTCCCATCCTCGTATGAGGATTTGCATGCATCTCAAAACTTTCATATGCCTTGGGGAAAAATACAGTTTCAACTTCTTCAGAGAATTTTGTAGACTGGCTAACAGGGGCCATGCTGATCTGAGTGACCTGTGCTGCCATATGAGACCATGGTATCATCCAAGCCAGGGCTGCTGAAAATGGCTATGCCTTGGTCCATGGCAGTACAGCAGCCAAGGTCTCAGTTAATGTCTGTGTCTCCTGTTGCCACTGAGGGCCATGCAGATTCCCCAGGGTCTCATCAGCCATTTGAAAACATTTTGGTGTTTTAGGGTCATGCTATCACTGCTGCCATACTTATCTGATGGTCTGTGCTGCCACTGGGGGTGCCCTGGTGAGGTCTTGTCCCAATTTGCTACTGAGGGCCATGTGAGGGTCCATGGTCCTACTGCAGCTGAGATCTGTGATGATCTCCATGGCACATGTTACCAGGGGAGTCATAGGAATCACATATGTAGACATCCCAGGGCCATGCTGAGCCAGCTATGCCCCACACAGGCCCTGGGATAGCTGGCCCCTGCACTTGCTAGACACTGCAGCAGGAGAGTTAGCTCTGCCCCTCATGGGAGAGCTGCCCAACCCACTGTGAGATGGGCCCAACCCTCACCACAGGCATGGGAGATGTGCCCCTGATGGCACAGAGAAGAGCTGGTTCTGCCCATCCTTTTCAGGGGGTAGGGGGGCCAGTCCTACCAGCTCAACTAAGATCCAGACCCACACCCTGCATTGGGTTGGCCCACCCTAACATCTACCCCATCTGTGACTTGCTAGAGCATCTGAAGGAACTGGTACTGAAGAACAATAGCCACGGGATTGCCATGACTGGGCAACAATAGGATGTCTGAAAGGAGTTTTGATGAGTGTCCAGTGATGTTGGAGTGAATGCCAGAGGCCTTAAACCAGACCAATAACTCATTGCAATAAGCATTTTTTGGGTGGTGCTGATTGGACAAAAAGGTATACCATGTGACACACCATAGCTCTTAGTGCCTTTAGGATAAATGAAGATTTGGGGAAGATGGAGGCGCTAGGTGGAGTTTTTGTTTGTTTTGTTTTTAATTTTGTGGGTGATTTTTTTGGGGGGGCGGGGAGATGCTACAGTGGTGAGTAGCAGAGATGAAGGGACTGGGAAGTTAGTGGGATTGGGGTGCATGGTGTGGAACTCCCAAAGAACCAATAAAGAATTATGTTACTTTTAAAAAATCTACATTTCAAAATAAGCTCAAAGAGGTGCTGATATGGGTGGTACAAGAATCACTCTCACAGTCCTGATGTGAAGGGCTTTCTATAATGCCATGCATGTACCAGACATCGGATGGATGTGTATCTGTGTGTGTGTGTGGGGGGGGTGTCTGTGTGTGTGTGTGTGGGGGGGTGTGTGTTTAAGTACAGAAGCACATACATTTGTATGTTACAAACACACTATATTGTGCATGTAATATATAATGTATATAATATGTTAAACCAAAGATAAAATCCAACATTTAGAGCTAAGCGAAGGTCATAGGTATTCATTGTCTTCTTAAACATTACACAATGGCAATGAAATGAAAGCATGACTTCTCACTGGTGACCTGAGCACTGTTTTAAACTCATATTTTGCCTCAATATTTTCTTATAAAGGCAAGAATATTAAGGCACCAGAGTAAAATGCACACCAGAGCAGCTTCAACCTTTGTCCTTCAAGGAAGCTTCAGGAATCAGCTCAGGACCCTGAAAGCTGCTCTCTAGTCTCCTGAAAGCAAAGCTACAAAGACACAAATACAGACATAGTTCATAGGAGAGAAGTCTTATTATCTGTAAAAGTAACCTCTTCAGTAGAATAGCAAAAGACATGGTTATATTTTTCAAAAGTGTGGTTAGCTTTTTGTGCAGGTGTTCTTTCTTAGCATTTGTCAAAAGTATAGGGAATTCATTCAATCCACCATGCTGATTAGAAAATGGCTTTTGGGAATCTGAGCAGATAGTACCCATTAACATTAATGAAATTAAATCACACCATACTGGGAAGGACACACACACACACACACACAAACACACCAAAAGCTATTTTAGTAACAGAATTCCAGCTACCCATATATAATTGAAATGGCATAATGACCTGATGTGACATTTAGAAAAATGTGTATGGATGCTCTTATAGAATTGGGCATATATTTTTCTCATGGCATTTCTCCTGTTTTCTGTTGGCTTCCAGGCACAGCACTTGTTGTCCAGTGGGACCATGTGCACCTGCAGGATAATTATAACCTGGGAAGCTTCACATTCCAGGCAACACTCCTCATGGATGGACGGATCATCTTTGGATACAAAGAAGTAAGTGACAAGTTGAAGATGTTTCTTTCTGATGACCATGACCTTTCTTTGAATGTCAAGTTATTGTAGTCATGGACTTCAAATCATTTTCTTACTTATTGATTTCTTTTGCTGAATAAATAAAGAACCCTTTTTTAAACTCATTTTTTGTTTCTGCCAAGGGATTCAGGTTAAAATTTGGTTTCTGGTTCATTTAGTTTTATATTCTGATATCATTGGCATTATGACCCATTTTTTTTAAAATTATTGAATTTTATAATATCATAAAAAAGCTAAGAAAAGATGCTGACTTCTAAATGATTTTTCATCTCTCCATAATTATTTATAATTTTAGGTTTGGTGGGGGCTGGCTTGTTGATTTCTCTGATCCCCAAATATTAGTTGACATAAAAATGGTTGTTTTAGTATTAAGAGTTCCAGAAAAGCAATCCTTACAATTTTTCCCGCAATGTTCACTAAAATCTGACAGATTTGATTTAAGTAGATTTAAAATTATTAGGACCTTACTGCCCAATTGGACAAAGGAACTTAAATCATATCTTGTTTCATATTAGCAAACTGACAAGTGAAATTTACTGAATTGTAACTTTAAGCTCTACAGAATGTTTAGACTAGACTAATAATGCATTTGACTCCATACTCTGCTGACAGTATATTGTAGGTCTGCTAGACAAAGAATATATAAATAAAGTAACAAGAACAGCAGATGTAATTTTTAAGGCAGTTGGTAGTTACAAGAGTAATTCTGGCAATGTATATTATTAGTGGGTGTGGTTAACACTTAATGGACAGTTGTAATACAAATTCATTCACTGTGTTCTTCTCTTCTGAAATCTATCTATGCCATAAAGTGAATAATATAAAACTTAAACTAAATACAACAACTTTTTAAAAGCTATGAACTATGTTGGTGATTTTTATTCTTTGGAAAAGATTTTTTCCACATTGAACTCTGCAGACAGAGAATGAAATGGGTTGAATCCTGATCTAAATGACTTTATCCAGTGCTAGCTTTAAAATATCAGTGTCCACTGCTTTCTCATGTCACCTTCCCTGGAAGCTAGGAATAGTTACACTCTCTACAATAGTTCTTAGCAGCCTCATTCTTACCAGGGTTTATTGTACCCTAAGGGATTTGCAGGAATATCAGAGGAACATCTAGGAATGGTAATTTTTAATTGTTTTTATTATCATTGTCTTAACGGTTTCTTGAAAGACCAGGGTCATTAAGTGTGATGCCTTCCATCTTACCCACTGTCAACAATGTCAAAAGATATTTCTGGCATCACTCTCCAGTGGCTATGATGAAAACCTCCATCTTTATCTACACTGTTCTTTAGGACTGTCTCACTTTGCAGATTTCAAGCTAATTCTTCTGTTTCCTTTCTGTTCTCAGTTTTTTTTTTTAAATATTTGTCCCTTTTATTCCAAGAAATATTTCTTATTGTGGTTTTCCTGCTTTGTTATGGGGACTTTTAAGATGATAAGCAGTTCAATGTTGCCTCACTTCCTGGATAGGGACAACACATCTCTAATCTATCCTATGAGTTCACAGAGAGAGGTCCTTTGCTTGTTGGTAATTGTCCTTCTACCCACTTTTCAGAGAGCAGTTTTTTTCTTTTATTTCTGATCATTGTTATGCATTTCTCTGTGTAAAATGTATTGCTAAAAGGGATATAGCTCAGTGCTAGAATGTTTAACATAGCCAAAGTCCAAGTTCCACCCTCAGAAACACAAGAAAAATTGTTTATGTATTTCTTTTTGTAATATTTTCCAAAATAAGAGTCCCTTTGCAGAGCTGGGAAAATGGTTCAGCTAGTAAAACTCTTACTGTGCAGATACAAGGTTCAGAGTTCAAGTCCCCCGAACCTGTGCTAAAACAAACAGGGTGTGGTGATATATACTTATGATTCTAAGACTGGGGAGGTAAAGACAGGAAAATTCCTAGGGCTTGCTAGACAATCAGACTTGCCTATCTGGCAATCTCCAGGCTAGTAAGAGACCCTCTCTAAAAAATGAGGTGAAACCCCACTTAAAAATGACATCTGCAGAAGATCCCTGACTTTTATTCACATATGTTTACCTACACACAAACTCCCTGTGAATTTAACTAGATTTTCCACACATTTTAAGAAAAATGTTTATGACTACATGACAGCAAAATATAGTACGTTGCAAAGCTTATCATCCTTTACAATGCACTTTCACTTGTGGTATCCAGCTGTTCAACAATCACTGGATGCTATATGACTTCATTGTTTCATCAAAGCATCAAAATAGAGAAGATAAGCAATAGATGCTTGTGGATTGGTTATGAAACTGTGTCATACATGATTACTTACAATAAACCCAGCTGAATTTTAAAAAATGATATGCATAAGGCCCACAATTAGATAAAGTATAACCTAGCATTAAATCTCTTTATTTGGTGCTCCTAGCCTCTTGAACTTATTTTCCAAGAAGACTATGAATAAAACTCATATACCAACTTATTTGTGTTTTCAATAAATTCTTATTGATGTTTGCTGTAAATCATTTATTTAATTGAGCTCCCCCACATTGTACAAATACAGCATAATCAGAAGAGCTATTCCAGATAGTCTTTAAAATCATGTTTGAAATAATAGTCTTTATAAATAATAACAATCTATGAATCCAGAATGAAGAACTGAAATTGTAAAGAGGAAAATAAGCAAAATTACCTCTGTCCTAACTTGCTTTTTACACAATGACAGCTTTGTTTGATTGTGTTATGTTTAAAGTAAGGGAGAAGAAAATCTTCCTTACATAAATCCAATAGTAAATGACTTTGTTCTATTGCAATTTAAAGCTAATAATGTATTTCATGTCAAAAGTTTCATTTCCATTACTCTTATGATTATATGTTTCTTTTAGTGACCATTAGCATACCAGTCATCCATACCAACCCTCAAATGAGCTCCAGGTCTTTCAAGATTCCAAAATATTCACTTTCCAACAGCATCAATTTTTCATAGTGCTGAGTAGATAAGGACTGATCAATAAATTAGAAAATCCATTTTCACGTCCATAAAAATCTTGCTTCTGATGGGATTGCATTAGGGAGTTGCTGTTGTTCCCTAAACTGGATGGATATGCATTTGCTCATAGCTCTCACTGTTTTTTCAGCAGTGTCCAGCTGTTCTCTGCAGCTGTACCATGAGAGTTGAAGTAGCAGTACACAATCCTTCAGATAGTTCCTTCTTCCAAGGTAATAGGTCTGCATTCTTCAACCAAAGGTTTGAAATCCTGCTTCACAGTACAGGTTCTTCTTGTTATCTGATTGCTTATTTTAGCTGACATCAAAACAGCTTACTTGTGGGGAAGCCAAATTATGAAGACACAGAGTTTTTCAATATTTTCCCTCAAATTACCAACTGCTGCTCTACTGTATCTTTTAGTCTTGCAGTACTCAATTTCATCTTTTACCAACTGTAGACTTATTTATGTGATAACATTAAGCATCCTACAAGCAAAACATCTATATCTTTGAATATATAAATAACATCTCTTTCACAGTTCATATGCACTCGTGTCTGTATTCCTATGAAACTCTTTGTATGTCTATCTTTCTTTTTCACTCATCAATAATGTCTCCTTATATTCTCAGTAATTTTTGATTAAATGATAGACCTTGTTTATATGGTACTAAGAGATATCTTTAGGATTATAACGTTATCTCTCTCTCTAGGGAACACTTTGTTGGTTCAGCATTGGGGGCTGAACAGATTCTTCACTCTCAGGAGCAGGACTACTTAGAGTTGAGGCTGGTGGGCTGCTGGTTAGCCTTGACTTTAAGACAATAGTCTATTAGCCATATCTAGTGGAGCCTGAGTATGTGTGGATCCTTTGCCTTAGACAACAGAAGGCACTTTTTCCTCAGGTTAAGAGAGACTCTGAAGTTCTATTATCTTTCCAGGCTCCACATCTTCTCTATGATTAGCAGGTATCTTCAGCAAAGTAGGAGTGGTTCTGCCTCTGTGGATGTTCTTCTCAAGTCTTGTCCTTTCAAGGCATGGGTTTTGGTGCCACCTCCAGCTTTTTTTTTTTTTTTTTTTTTTCTGTATTTAATTTGTTTTTCCTTGTTTGGCATTAGTAGTAGTCATGACATAGAACAAGTTTGTTCTAAGTCTAGAAATAGGAGTCTCAATCGCTGTTAATAAAAATTTCCAAAATTGATAAAAATTCTGGCTTATTCTAAGCAATTCCTCTATGCCAGGCATTGGCCTCTATGCTTAAAATTATACTGCCCACCACCTCTCTCTCTCTCATACTGACAAACACACACACACACACACACACACACACACACACACACACACACACACACATCCCAAAAGGTAGCTGCTTATTATTAATAAGAAAGCATTCAGACAGGTTAAGTAACTTACCCCGGATTATGAAAAATATATATAAAAAAAAACTTTAACACAAAAATATAAGTTTAGACCCAAAGATTATAGATCTAAATGCTATTTTACTCTACCTACCTACAGATTCCCTTTATTGATATGATTGGCTCACTTACATTCTCAATTGTCTTCTGGTTGACTGCTTTGACATTATCACTAACATAAAGAAATAGGTAAAGAAAGTTTGTCTTCCCACAGAATTTATCATATTAGTCACTACTATTTTTCAGTGAGAAGAACCTGTATGTAAATTAAGCACATCCTTTCTTGGATGGCATAAATTGGAAAATAAAATATCTATTAATTTTTCTGATAATAACTAGTTATGACCACAAATCCCTAAAGTTTTGTATTATTTTCAGTAGCTACTTAGAAGGGAGAATTGACTTATTCCAACTGGCATGGATGACAATTTGGGGTCTATTAGTAGTCTAGAAAAGGAAGCAATTCTTTCTTATAAATTATAGATTTGATCATTTTATTTGGTAAATTTATATAAGGGACAGTTATGGCTTATGTGTTACTGTAGCGCAATTAAAAAGCCACAATAATGTACAGGGGTGACACAGA